TTTTCCTTTAGGGTTTTGTATATGTCTCCCCATTGCCTTCTTGACTGCATGGTTTCTGCTGAGAAGTCAGAGCTTAATCTGATTTGCTTGCCTTTGTAAGTGACACTTCTCTTCTCCCTGGCCACTTTTAGGATTCTCTCCTTGTCTTTGATTTTGGAGAGCTTGATTATTATGTCTTGGTGACTTTCTTTTGGGGTCTATCCTTTCTGGGGTACATTCGGCTCCTTGGATGTTTATTTTCTCATCTTTTAAGATGTTAGGGAAATTTTCTTCCAGAAGCTCTTCAACTATCTCCTCTGTGGATTTCTCTGATTCTTCCTGTTCCAGAATGCCAATAATTCTTAAGTTGTTCCTCTTCCTGTTTCCAGCATGAATCTTAGACTCTCCAGATTTCTTAATCCTTTTTTCTGCTTGCTCGTCTATCTTGGCAGTATTGAGAGATTTGTCTTCCAGCTCTCTAGTTCTGGCTTCCATCTCTTCTATTCTGCTCCTTTCCCTTTTCAGTGTATTGTCCATTAATCATCTAGATTTCTTTTTGTAGGTTTTTAATTGTTTCCAATGCTGTATCAATCTTGTTTGATTGCTCTTGTAATGCTTTCCTGACTTCCTTGTTTTCCTCCACCCCTTTTCGGAGCATTTGAATTTGTTTCCATATCGTTCTTCTGAATTCCTTTTCAGGCAAATCCAAAACCTGCTCTGCTTCTTCTGGGGAGCCTTTGTCTGTGTCCAGCTCATTTGTCTTAGTTATTCTTTTCTGTTTTGGAGCATGTTTTGAGATCTTTTGTTGTGTTTTATTGGTTGTTTCCAGTAGTTATGTGGGTTTTTATGTTTGCTGTTGTGTTATTAAGCTTACTGGTTGTCTCCTGGTGGATATGATCAGGAGATAGGCTTCCCTTTTCGCATGTAATGCTTATTATCAGCTGTTATTGCCTCTTGTTTTAATGGTGGAATATTATGGGGTATGCTTGTAGCTTGGCTATATGGCCATGATTGCTGTCTCTTCTTGGGTAACGTAGGGAGAAAAAACTCCCACCTCCAGGAAGAGTGTGTGATCAAAAGGACCAAGAGCAGAAGCAATATAAAAGCAGAGACAAAACCCACCACTTTGAAACAAAAATAAAACTGTGGCCAACTGGCCAGTTGCCTTTCTACACAGGCAGTGTGTGTGTACCATAGGAGCTTCCAGGAGTGGGTGGGGGTGTCCGCTTGCTCAGGCCCCTCCTCTAGTCACCCCCATAGAGGTGCACAGATAGATATTGAGAAGTTAATGGGAGAAAGATGGTCTACTATTTTTGTCTTTGAAGGTCAGTTAGGTATCTGCATGTGCACAGTGTAATTCTTGAGATAGTTGCATTCTTTTATGTTGGGGTTTTTACAGAGTGTTTATATGGTTTGTCTGTCAGACCAAACCAAGTTTATTCTTGCTGGATAGGCCAGAGTAAAGTGTCCTGCACAAGTTAACTTTAGGACTGGGACACACAGGCTGACGTCATAAACAGCCACCAAGTACTTTCTCTCAGTGCTGTGAGAAAACTGTGGGGTCAGCCCTGGACTTTTTTGGGGGGTGGGGGGGGTGAACACCCACCCACCTGAAGGCATCTGGGCTGGACAAAGAAGGCGTCACAGGGAAGAGGAGGAAAAACTGTGTAGAATCCCCAGCACCTCCTTTTGCTAATGTCACTGCACAGCTTTTAGTGCTGGTTCCCTGTGCTGGTCTGGCTGTAGCCCCGCCCTCTGAAAACGCGTGAGTGGGTTGGCCATAGAGGGAGTCCCATCAGGAGCGATTCCTAACTCACAGTATTTTCCTTTATAACGTGATTTTTCCACTTGTGCTTGAGGAAAACTGACGCCCTGGACCTTATGGTAGATCCAGAGCTCTGGTGGTGGTCCCTGAGTGCAGCTTCTCTGGGTTCTCAATCCCTCCCCCTCGGAGCTTTTCCTACCTGGCTGTCTCTGCCGCAGCCCAAATTGTCGACCACCCGGGAGGGGTTGTTTTGACCAAATTTTTTCCATCAGTGGTTGGTTTAATGCACTGATGCAGAACCCTGGGGGTACGGGGGTCACCTATCGTTCTTTGCAACCAAGTGGGAGCTTCCATTAAGGAGTACTCTGAATATCACTTAGGAATGTTGCTGCCTCACTCAGCCCAGATACGAGTCCTCCATGTTTACAACACATCCTCTCCTGTTACCTAGCGCTGAAGCAGATAAGGTCTTCCTGGAGAACCAAAGACAGATCTTAGTCATGGGAAACAAGCCTGGCTCTGGCTCTGCCTGGTCTACAGCTGGCGGGGGGGGGGGGGGGGGGGGGGGGGGGGGGGGTGGAGGAAGGGGCACAGTTAGCGGTATCTGGCTGGTGGAAGACTACTTTGTCTATCATTTCCATGTGTGGGGCACATCCAGACCCACGTAGCTAATTGGTCTTCCTTCCTCAAAGTCAAAGTGAAAGACGACAGGCTGCGAAGCATGTGCTGATGCACTTCAGGTGTTTACAGGCGTCATAACCCAGGACGCTTGGTTTCCAAGTCAGTGACTGTCTCGGGAACCACTGATGAGCAAATGACAAGTCTCAGGTTGTTGTGTAATAGTTCAGATGTCTGAATTAGTTTAGGTTCCTGTAGCATTTCCGTGAAATATTAGGAAAAGTCAGATGTGTTTCATTTGTAATTTTTTATGTCAGTGCTTTAGCAGATTGGAGCCTCTTGACCTTTTGGTGACTTTGAGTCCAGTGTTCTGAAAACTAGACAGTGGACATAATTTGTGAGGTGGGGGTCTCCACGATGGTCCAGGATAAAGCCGTAAGATTTATAGGTAGTTCTAGGTGGGTGCCTTTCATATTTGGTAACGGTTAGTAACAAGGAAAACACTACGTAAGTTATCTTTGGAATAAAGATAACATTATGAAATGATGGGGCCCTTCCGAGTAGGGTTCATGCTTCAGAGAAACTGGGTGAGAGTTGGCGAAAGGTGGGACTGCTTTGTAGAAATTGCAAGATGGAGACTTCACGTTAGAGCACGGTCAGAACGGGTCTAAGGGGTTGAACTGAACCCCAGCAGCCGTGCATGAGTCTGGGCCGCCAGCCAGCTGACAGGGCAGTGTGTGCCATACCCTTCATCGCAGATAGGCCATGTTTGGAACACTTGTCCAGTGTTGACATGCTGTTGCCCTGATTTGAGCCCTAGCGGTGCAGGGGTTCAGGTTAGGCTGCTAACTGAAAGGGAGGCCGTTTGAACGCCCAGCAGCTCAGAGGGAGAAACTCCATCCAGTTTTGTTGAAGACTCACAGCCGGGAGCCTGCGGCAGGCCGGCCGGTCTCCTCTGTCCTCCCAGGAGCCCACGGCGGGGCGGCTCTCCTCTGTCCACGGCGGGGCGGCTCTCCTCTGTCCTCCCGGGTCTCCAGGGTTGGGTTGGGCTTCGGTGATTCTGAGACCCTCGTTTTTCACATAGTGAATTTGTCCGAAGGGGGGGGCTTTCTGATGACAGCAGCAGGAAGCAGGCCAGGAGGAGCCCAGGGCCCAAGATCAGGAGTGCCTGCCGGGTGGGTGCCTGCAGCTGACAGACGCTCAGGAAAGTACAGAGAACGTTCTAGTCGGCAAGCATAACCTTTTGACCTTGATCCAGATTCTATAAGCAGGCTCCAGAGTTCATGGAAATGGAGAATTAAAAGACAATGAAAATAAATAGATTTTAAAAAGAAGACAATGAAAATAAATAGATTTTAAAAAGAAGACAATGAAGTTTTTCCACAGACTTTTTGAAGCCCCCTCATGTAACCCTTCTGAGTCCTAGGATCCCTGGTGGCACCGTGGCTGAAGTGCTTGGCTGTCATTGGAATCCACTAACCCGTCAGCTCCCAGCCTCAGAAGCCCTCTGGCCCAGTCCTCCTTTGTCCTACAGGGTCACCAGAAGTCCGTATTGACTCACAGGCAGTGGGTCTACACCCCAGTTTTTCCATCTTTGCCCTTCCAAGGTGAAGGGCTTTGGGGAGGAGCAGATGTGGTCATGCACACTGTATGCTGACACATTGCCTGGGTATGTGTGGCCGGAAGCCACAGTGTAACTGGGTCTGTACTAAAGCAAATGAACCACCAAGTAATCACTGTAGTCTTTCCCGGAATCGTTTAATCCATCTTAAGAGTTAAATATTCATAAAACAGACAGACTTGGGAAGTTTGTGTTCAGACACTGTTTAATGGACAACTTATAGGTAGTCTTCTCAGATGCAGGGACATTCCTCCCAAGAAGTTGTGCTGGCATTGGGGTAAACTGGGCACAAGAGCTGCTACAGGTCAGGGGTCTGGGTGAGGTCTGAGGGCTCCCAAAGAGCAGTTCACGATCGGTGGGGCCTGAAATGGGAACTTCGCATGGCTCACCCCCGTGACTTACCCTTGTGTGCTTTTGGTTGATCTCATTTACCCTAGATGCCCTTGTGGTTTTTTAATTGTTGACTGCATCTCCTCTTAGCCCCAGCTCCCTCACACGCACATGCACACACACACACAACACCTGAGACCTACTTCCTTAGAATATTGGCTCCGAGGACACAGGCAGCTCCTCAGGCTCTGTCAAGAGCACTTCCTGGTACACAGTAGGCACACAAGTGTTTGTCAAAACAACAAGGGCTCCACAGATGTCGTGAAAGAAGTGACTCGAAGCAAGCGGTAGATGCACGAAGGCAGACTGGGATAGGCGTTCATGCCACGGTGTCTGTGTTGTGGGAACCCAACCACTGCGTTGTCCCAGTTACTTCAGGGTCTCTTGTCCTGTTGGTGGGCATCAGCATTTGCTTTACCTGTTTACCTGTCTGTTTCTAGCCCCGGCAGTAACCAGGAAGAAGACGCAGTCCTCAAAGCCAACAAGCTGATCTACTCCCAGCTCTTGAGAGCCACTGCGAACAGAAATGCGACCCCGCTTGAGAGAGTCGATGTGGTCGTGCACCTGCTGGAGCAGCTCGGCCGCAGCGCCGCTGGGGGCAGTGCGGTCCAGTGACGTCCGTCCACGGAGAAACGCTCCGTCAGTGCCTTCTAAACACGGGCCTGCTCTGCCCACGTGAGTGCGACGTGCCTGGTGCCTCAGTAGGGACAGAAACGCTTGGTGCAGTCACACCTTTATGTGTTTTAAAGTTAAACTTGGTGGGTTTAAGATCAGTCTTTTGGATAAAATGTTACTTTGGCCAAGTGATTGTACTGGCTCAGGTGGGTAAGGAAGCGCCTCACACCTAACATGTTTCCTTCTTGGGTTCACACCACCGAGGGCCCACTCAGCACGGTGCAGGCTGGCCGCTCTGTAGGTCCTGGACTCGGTGTTGGTTCAGAAGGGGTTGGTTTTCTTTGACTTTATAGGACAGTTGATCAAGAATAGGTACTACCCCCTTTTTTTTGGTTCTTTTTAAACTCAAAACTGTGACTAAGGTAAGAAAGCTATTTTGAATAAATAAACTATTTATTGAAAACGTGTCTGTCCTTTTGCATGTCACACACTTCACATAGTGTCTTGACTGAAATAAACTAGGCCCATCTCATCGGTTTTACTGAGTAAAGCTCCAACTCTTGTCAACACTATAGGACTGAGTACAGCTGCCCCCTGTGGTTTCCAAGGCTAAGGCCTATGGGAGCAGACGACCTCATCTGTCACTGCAGAGCAGCAGCTGGTGGGTTTGGACGAATGACCTTGAGGGTTAGCAGCCCAACACTTCACCCCACTGTACCACCAGGGCTCCTTGTTACATAACATATTTGAACATTTTAAATAAGACTTTTCCCCACTGAGTTTCAACTTTGGAACCTATGTTCCCCTCCGTTAGGAAGCATCTGAATGGTTTTCTTGGTGAAGAAGTCAGACCTTGTCTCATACATGCCAACACCGACCTGCGGCTCACATCACATGCTTAATGTGGACATGTGGACGTCACAGACATCGAGCCACTTCCCCGAGATGGGCCCCTTTGGGAGTAGCCCGCCAGGAGGAAGCCGGGAGTTGAGCCGTTTGTCCCGGTCACTCACTACTTGCCAGTAGCTACTGCCTTTAAAGAAGAACACGGTGTTGTGGGCGTAGGAGTAGTACGCGGAATCCAGATTCCTGATGGGATGGTTCCCGGGAGCTGTGGCTGGGAAAACGGCAGTGATCGGCTTCGGATACGAGTGAAGCACTTCATTTCGGCAGATATCGAATGCAAACACCTGCAAAGTAGACTGAAAAGTAAGACGGAACTTTGGGGGGGGGTGGGGAATCCTTGATTTGTTTAGGTCAATTGATAGCAATGAGGAAATAACACAGAAACAAGTGTGGCTTTGCACTAACTCCCGTAGGCTTGAAGTTCTCTGTAATTTCTCAAATGTATTGAATGATCTCTCATGGCCCTTCAGGTCTGCTGTAACCAAGTTCTAGACACCCAGTGTGAACCACAGAAGAACAGCTTAAAATTTTAACTCAGAACTTAATCATCAAAAACAATAGGCAAGGAAGCCTTCGATTTACCAAGGACTCCTTGAAGAAGTAAATCAGTTGCTTTCGTCGGTCAAAAAAGGCTGTGTCCAGGGGACTTGGGATTCCAGGAAATCCCTGAGAGATGAGTCTGGGGTAGCGGGTTCCTCGTTCATCTTTGAACACCTGATCCTTGTCACTGTCATATCTCCAGTACCGGTGTCCTGAAAGCCAACCAAAAAATACCAGCATGCCTTATTAATAAAGCTCAGGGGGTCTAACCAAGAGGACAGCTTACAGTCTGGGCCCCCGCCATCCTGCTAGGATAGAGTGGGCCATGATGCCAACATCACGCAAGACCTTCAGAATCCTAGGGAAACCCCCACTCAGACTAATGCTTTACTCAGTTCTTGAGCTAGCTATAGATTGGAGCCACGGACTCCAGTTCTCTTATGCATCCTTACTGTGGTTGGCACACTGGTTGATTTCCACAGTGCACACCAACCCAAGAGCATTGGGTTCTCGACAGAAGCAACGACAAAACCAAAGCACTCTTTTTTTTTTGCATATGTGTTTGGAAGTGTTTCTACTTTCTTCTAGCTTTCTTTTGCCTATTAATGGCCATTGCCATCCAGTGTGTTCCAACTCAGGACCCTGCATAGTGTTTCCGAGGTGCGGCATCTGTAGAAAAGGAGCACTGGTGGTGTAGCAGTAAAGCACTAGGCGGCTAAAAGGTTGGCAGTTCAAACCCAGCAGCCACTCTGCAGGAGACAGATGTGGCAGTCAATGACAAACGTGAAACCCTACGGGACAGCTCTCCTCTGACCTACGGGGTCACGATGAGTGGAATCAACTGAAGGACAACAGGATTAGTCAGGAGAAGCAGCTCTGCTCTGTGCAGAAATTGGGATGATAGTACCTTTTCCCTGTTTCAGAATCACCTAGCGCCGCCACCCTCCCTTCCTGTTCTGCAAACAAGGAAACTGAGCAGAGAACTCTGAAGTGGCTTGCCCACATTCTGACGGCCTAGAGTTAGTCTAAGCTGTCACACAGCAAGTGGACAAGTGGATGTTCTAGCCACTGCCCTGTGGAATCCTAACTCCTAACTGCTGCATTGCGTTCTGAGGCCCGAATGTTCATCCCCCACTCTGACAAACAGGAGCTGACCATAGGCTTTGCGTATTCGTTCCTAATCCTAGTTGGCAGGTTGGCAGCATTGTTGTGAGGTGCCTCCAGTTTCGGTCCCACGCCATCCTCACAATTGTTACCCTTGAGTCCTTGATGCTGTCATGGTGTCAATCTAGCTTGTTGGGAGTCTTCCCATTTGCACCAACCCTCCACTTTACCAAGCATGATGTCCTTCTCCAGGGACTGGTTCCTCTTGACAACATGTCCAAAGAAAGACGAAGTCACAGAATAAACCCACTGAGTTCCATCTTTGGTGTTCACACTTCAGGAAGATCTGAAGCAGTCACGCTGCTAAACAACCAAGTGCTCACTGCAGTAGGAAAGGGTTCCCATTCAGAACAATGTGCACACCCAGTGAGAGCTACGACCCCTCTAACTGGGATGTCTTTCGAATTTCCTGTATTCTCAGTAAATGAAACCAGAAGTTTCTGAAGCTCCGAGATTAAAACGCAGTTGTAGTGGAGCAATGGCCCGAGATGACCCGATTCTAAAATTCAGATCCTCTGAACACTGCCAGTATAAATCCACAGTTCGGGAGTCAAACACAGAAAGATGTGCTTGCACCGCTGAAAGGCCCAAACTAAAAGTCTGCCCCAAGGCCGTTTCTTCATGTAACTCAACTAAAATAATTCTTCCCTTGTGTCATGGAAAGGGAAATTCAGATCAAATTTGCACACTGAGTTATTTCAGTTTGGCTCTGGCCTTGTTAACTCCGTAATTTAAAGCAATGGGGTGCTCCTACTGGGGTTCAAACAGTGGATGGAGGAAGGAGAATGACAGCAAGGACAAAGCCGTGTTTGTTTAGACCCTGTGATTGCTTCTGGAGTGAGGATTTCGAGGGCATCAGCCAAGAGCCCAGAACAGACCCCTCTGTGCATCCCAGCACCAACCCTCAGCCTCCTAGCCAGTCCCTCTACCTCCACTTCTGCCTTTCCAGTAACACCCTGAACATCCTTGTTCAGAAAACACCCTGAATCCTTTGTTACCTACTGGGTGAAGTCCCGCCCCTGACCTGGCATCCTAGGTTCTTCATGGTCCTGTCTTTCCAACCCATCCCTCATACTACCTGAGTCCCTGGTCACACTGCAATTCGCTCAGCTGTCAACAAGCATGCTTTTGTCTCTCCCAGACCTCAGCCATTGCTTCTGCTTCCTGTCTCTGACTCTGTCCACACACCTGAACCATATTCTGGGAATTCCAGACACTACCTGTCCTTCAAGCCTAGGATTCCAATAGCATCTATGAAGGGCCCCTTTTGTCAGTCTACCCCTTAGAAACCCACTCCTGCTGGGAAGACAGCTGCAGGAATTTTTCCCCCTCCAGAACCACATGAACCCTTTGGCCAGCGTCTAAGAATCCAGCATGATTTCTTCATCAATCAGTGCATCAAGCACCTTAAAATGATCAGGTGAGAACACAATTCCTGTTCTCAGACTGACTGAATGGTCAGGAACTGGCAAAAATGAATTACAAAAAGCATGGCTGGAATTAATTACAATCAGTTTCCATGGTAGAGGCTCGAAACAAGTCATTCTGGATGCATTTGTTGAAAGTAGAAACAGAACACAAATACACGAGTTTTTACCTTTAAAAAAATAACGTTCATCTCTTCTCCACGTCCAAACATGGACAAAAGCGTCGATGTTTTGTGTCGGGATCCCACGCCAGCCGGTGAGGATTTGGATGGGATCCCCATAGCGTGTCCTGTTGTTTCGGTTTTCATAAAGCCAGTACCAGCTGTTGCGGAAAAAATAGGTGCTGAACCGCACCAAGAATTCCCCATACTGGTTCCTCTCTTTGTGAATCCAGTCAAATGCAGTATCAAATGCACCTTCACATGAACCTGAAAAAGAAAGGCACCCGACCACCTGCCACACAGTGCAGGAACCCAACTGTGTGACTTTCATGTGTGTGACTTGAGTAGTTGTTAGGTGCCGCAGAATAGCAACCTTAGGCACAACAGAACAAAACACTCCCTGGTCCTGCACGTTCCTCACAATCATTGTTAACCTGGAGCCTATTGCACCAATCCATCTTGTTGGGGAGCTTCCTGTTTTTTGCTGACCCTCCACTTTACTAAGCATGGTGTGCTTCTCCAGGGACTGGTTCCACCTGGTACTATGTCCAAGTGTGAGAGAAGAAGTCTTACTTACCATCCTGGCTTCTAAGAAGTGTTCTGACTGTACTTCATCCTACACAGATTTGTTGTTCTAACAGTTCATGGTACTGTTAACATTCTCCCGCACCACAACTCAAATGCATTAATTCCTCAGTGGTCTTCCTTATTCACTATGCAATTTTCACATGCATATGAAGCTACTGAAAATACTATGGCTTGGGCCAGGTGCGTGTTAGCCCTCAAAGTGACTTATTTGCTCTTGAACACTTGAAAGAGGACTTGTGCAGCAGATTTGCCTAATGCAATACATCATTGGATTTCTTCACTGCTGCTTCCATGAGTGTTGATGGTGGATCTAAGCAAAATGAAGCCTTGGACAACTTCAATCTTTTCTCCATTTACCATGATGTTATTTATTGGTCCAGTGGTGAGGATTTTTGTTCTGTTTACATTGAGGTTCGACCCATACCGAAGGCGGTACTATTTGATCATCATCAGTTAAGTATTCAAAATCCTCTTTGCTTTCAGCAAGCAAGGTTGTATCATCTGCATATTGAAGGTGGTTAATGAGCCTTCCTCCAATCCTGATGCCACAGACTTCTTCATATAATCCAGCTTCTCAAATTATTTGCTCCAATTTATAAGTACAGTGAAAGAAGACAACTCTTGACGGATACCTTTCCTGATTTAAAACCATCCAGTGTTCCCTTGTTCTGTTTGAACAACTACCTCTAAATCTATGTACAGGTTCCTCATGAGCACAATTAAGTGTTCCGGAATACTCACTCTTTGCAATGTTGTCCATAGCTTGTCATGATCCACATAGTCAAAATCCTTTGCACAGGTAAACATCTTTCTGGTATTCTCTGCTGTCAGCCAAGATCCACTGGACATCAACAATGATATCTCTTGTTCAACATCCTCATCTGAATTCGGCTTGAACCTCTAGTCTAGCAGCTCCCTGTCAATGTACTGCTGCAGCCGGTTTGGGATTCGCTTTAGATAAATAACTAGAGGCCGTGGCAAAGCTGGGGTGTGGTATCAAAACACCTTCACACTAGATGCCATGTAAGTCTGGAAACAGACTGGAGGGGCTCACAGAACGGCTCTGGTTCAGGACTGACAATGCTTCCAGAGCCCTGGTAACAGTACCAGAGTGAGTTACTTGTTGGACTGCTAACCCCAAGGTCAGCAGTTCTAAACCACCAGCAGTTCCACAGGAGAAAGATGAGGCAGTCCTTTTTTCCCATGAAGATTCACAGCCTCAGAAACTCTGTGCAGGCTCACCATGAGCTGGAACGGATTTGATGGCATACAGCCAACGTTTGGGTGCTGAGTGGTACAGTCAACCTGGGTAGAGCTGGTGCCTCCCGCGGGCCATCCGACTTCGTTTGTGGGAAGAAACTTGGCTCTGGGCACACACAAGAGCAGGCTGCCCCCATAGAAATCAATGTGTCCTCACTTCTGTGGTTTCCAAGGGTGCTGAGTGTCTAGTACAGATCTAAGCAGAACTGATGGATATGGCCCCTGTGAGGGGCTTTGAAGTGGGAAATGGGGCTAGCTTTCCAGCCCTTCAGCTTCTGTGCCATATCATTACTCACCTTAATTAAACAATTAACCACGAGGTCTCAATAGGAGTCTTGGTGTGGCGCTGCGGGTTAATGCACTGGGCTGCATGGTCAGTTAGAACCGCAAGGTCGGCGGTTCAAGCTCATCAGCTGCTCCTCAGAAACCCTATACAGGGTCGCTATGGGTCGAAACTGACTCGATGGCGCTTAACAACAACAGACCTCAATTAACCACTAGGGCCAACCTTAGTCATGCGAGTTGATTTTGCTGAAAATCAGGAAATAATTCAAGTCTTACTTTATATGAGGCTTGTGAAGGAAAAGCCACTAAAATATATATTGTTGTTGTTGATGTTATGTGCCGTGGAGTCGGTTCCGACTCTCAGTGACCCTGTACAGGGTTTCCGAGGCTGTAAATCTTCACAGGAGCAGAAAGCCTCATCTTTTTCCCGCGGAACAGCTGGTAGTTTCAAACTGCTGACCCTGAGGTTCACAGCCCGATTCATAACCACTACACTACCATATATATATGTTGTGTTGTGGTGAAGTGCTGTCGGGTCGGTTCTGACCCATAGCGACCCTGTATAGGGTTTCTGAGGAGCAGCTAGTGAGCTTGAACCGCTGACCTTGCAGTTCAAACAGCTTTGCAGTCTGGCGCATTAACCCACAGCACCACAATAGGACTATACCTATATATTCTCTCTCTCTCTCTCTCTATATATATATATACATATACACACACACACACACACACACACACGTTGTTAAGTGCCATTGAGTTGGTTTCAACTCATAGCAACCCTGTATAGGGTTTCCAAGGGGCAGCTGGTAAGTTTGAACTG